GCCGTGGACTACAAGAAGCTGAGGAAGCTCATACTTGCGAAAAAGCTCGCGCCTTGCTTCGATGCCGTTGAGGATTCCCAGATCGACGGCGATCTCGAGGAGTGCCCCATTTGCTTCCTCGTAAGAGAAGAAATTTACAGTTCCTTTGCCCCTAGTTTGCTTCAGTTGTTTGCTTCAGTTTTGCTTAATTTCCAATTTTCCATAGTTGACTGTGTGACTGTTTAGACATCAGATATGGCTAATTTGTTGTTTTTTTTTGTGTTTTAATTACGTTTCTAGCTTTGTTTTTTTTAAACAATTTTTTTTGCAGAAACCTTCATATTTTCTATTTCCTTCTGATTTTTCATATTATTATAGCCTTTGTTTGAAATGAAAATTCGTTGTATCTGTAATCTCGCTAATTCAGAAGGGTATCGAATCATTTCCTCTACTTTTCTTCAAATTCTTCTATTATTTTGTAATGTACTCATTTTTCTCTGTTGGTAGTACTGTGTGATTGGAATTTGTTAATACTCAAACCGAGCAGACCAAGTCACTGTGTTTCTTCATAATTTCCCAATATATTAATAAAATCCATACTAATAAATGTCGTCATTCTTCTTTATCTCTAATTTTCTTCTTTTCCTTAAATATTAGTATTATCCAAGCCTGAACCGGTCAAGATGCTGCGCCAAAGGAATCTGCACTGGTAAGAACTTTCTTTTTCAGGGGCTATAACATAGTTTTTTCCATATTCAATATTAGTATCATCAGTACCTTATGATTTCTTTCATATTCAATATTAGTATCATCAGTACCTTATTAATTCATGGATTACAGCTCGGACTATGACACATTAATAATTAAGACCACTTTGAGCAAAATGTTAACCCATTAGTTCTTGAATCCAAATTACACGTGAAGCACTCATACCCCCCACTATACATATATGTCTTTGTGCAAATCCTACAGAGCGTGATTCCGTTTGTGTGCGCGTGCGTGCGCGCGCGCGGGTGTGGTGCGTGCGTGCGAGCGAGCGGGTGTGGGTGTGTCTGTGTGGGCGTGCGTGTGTGCGTGGGTGTGTGCTTGTGCTTGTGCGTGTGCGCGCGTGCGTGCCCGTGTGCGTGTGTGCGTGCATGGGTGGGTGCGTGTGTCTGCGCGCGCGCCTGCGTGCGCGTGCACTTAAAATTTTCTTTATATTTACGTTCAAATAAATATGGCCTTTGATTTCGCTCCGAGGAAGGTGTTGCTTTAGATAGGCAGTCCATGAGAAATTTTCATCGATTTGCTTCTCTTTGTGTATATTTTATTGTCTTAATACATTGTTTTCCTACTGAAATCAGATGACTGAACTTCTTTTTGTTTAATTTTTAGAATGTTTTTTGCAGATGAAGCCCTCACATGCTAGTCGACCGGCTCAGTATCCTTCTAGCTGTCCATGGTTCTGTATGTTATTTCTTTATATTATGGCTTGAAGTTCTTATCACTAATGTCTGTGGCTTGCTCTTGTTAAGATTTTAGAAGGTTAATGATTCAAAACCACATCATGATTGAATACGACAACCATTTTCCATGTTCATCAGAATAAAATAATACCTGTTTCATTCTTCTAGTTCTAGTGTCTCCTCGATTCTCCTAAGACACTTTTCGGCTGCCAAATTGAAAGATTAGCTGATTGAAGTTCTAACTGATTGTTCAGTTGCTTAAGCTGAAATTTTTATCCATTTGTTTTTTCACATGATTACAGTGAAAAATCCAGTATGAAACACCCACCCACACATGCACACATTCGTTTTTTGTAAAAGAGGACAAACAAAACCCTTCCAACAAAAAGTAAGCAAATACGGTCACATTTGCATTTGGAACTTTTAAGTTTTCTTCACCATAAAAAATATGTAAAATATAACTTATTGTTAAATTCTGCAAACTTATTCAATGTATAATAGTAACAGTGAGGAAGAAGTTATTTAAGGGAGACACTTATGTCTTTACTCGTTAACAAGAGAAAACTGACGTCACTGTATGGTTCAAATATACATAAATTTATATTTCTGATGATGTTTAATTATTTACACATTCTTGCATGGGCTTGATCTAGAATATAATAAGAGTAAATTTAAAAGGTAAAAATATGTTTGAAGTAAATTATATTGATGCATTTATATTTTAATATTGATGGGTACCTGCATTTCCAAAGAATTGGATTGCAATCTAGCACTTCCAATTGGCAAGGACTATAGTTTAATTTAAATTTACAAGTGAATGTGCGTATATATTAATGATAAGGGTATAAATGCTAATTTAATATTTTTTGAATGCAATTAGTACTATTGAGGAATAATGAACAAAATATTAGTTTGGAGGGTAAGACACCTTATACTATTTCTTGAGATTATTAAATTCTTTAGTAAAACTAGGGGGAAAAAGAAGAAAAATTCAGTTTCTCAAAGAAGCTCCTGAAACAGGAACCATGTATATGAGCCTGTTTAAGGTTTATAGATGTGAAGAACATTCCCATTAGTACTTATTCCAGTTAGTGTCCTTTTACTTGTAGTGTTTCTATCTTTTACCAATTATCTTTCAAGGCAGCATTTACCTGATATAAAAGTAAGTCTCTTGCAAGACTGTAAACACTAAAACTTCCTGGGTTAGTCGGTTGATTTCTTGTTATACAATAAATTAGGATTTTATATTTTTATCACTTGCTTATGTGCAGTTTAATTTTGGCTGTAGTGTTGGTTCTTAAATTAGGTCAGAGTAGCGTCTTTGACAAACAATATTTCTCGATTTTATTCCCGTTTACGGATTTACAATGCAATGAACTTTGATATATTTGAGATACTTAACTTTTTAAGGTGCCCCTTCTGCAAAACATCCTGTTATGCAGTTGAGTACCACGGTGCTAGAACTGAAGAGGAGAAGGGCTTAGAACAGGCAGTACGTTTTCTTTCTCAAGCTTTTTTTGCATGTCTCGACTTATGTCAATACTGGTTGTATTTTATTCTTCTTTCCTTCACGAGTTTTCCTTTTGTGATGCTAAAGGAGGAGCAGAAGGTTATTGAGGCAAAAATAAGAATGCAAATGGAACCTCAAATTGAGCAAAGACTTGTGCATGTAAACCAACATCAGACCCTTTCGGAAATTATACATTCTTGCCATGATGTGGGAAGTCCATCTAGTGGTGAATATACTTTTGCCTCAAATTCTGAAAACCTTGGCCTTCTGGCATATTATCATCTATCTATTAACATAGTTTAATTGATCTGTTTTATTCTAGACCAAGATGAAGAAAGGGAAATAACACAAGTAGGGAGATCAGGACTGCAAGACAGAGTAGACACAGATTGGGCATCTAATCGAAATGTAGGCCCTACAAGGTTTGTATAATTTTATGAAGAACTTATTTCATTCTTCCAAAATTTTATACAGTTTCTTCTCTCAAGGACAAAAATGGCCTTTGTAGTATCACCCAATTGCAAAGAGACCCCTTGTTGTTCTATTTCTTGCGAATAGACCGCTATTGTTCTATTTATTGCGAGTAGACCTCTTGTAGTTCTACTTGTTGTGCATAGACCCCCTGAGTGAAGTTCTTGTGAACCTTAAAATCGTTAAAAATGTTTGAGGAGGCGGATAGATCCCCTATAGTTCTATTGGAGAGGATAAACCCCCTATAGTTCTATAGTCCTAAGGGGGTGTATTTGCACTTGGGCCAATACTACAAGGCGTCTATTCAATAAATAGAATTACATGGGCTCTGTTCGAAACAGGGGGTCTCTTTGCAACCGAGCGATACTACAGTTGGTCTGTTTACAATCAATCCAAAATATATTGATATAATTTCAATGTATTATGTTGTTTGCAATTCACAAAATTTATTGCATGGAAATTTGTGTTATCTTGATAATTTGTGAAGCATATCATTGTATAGCTTATCAATATCCTGTTGAAAACTCTTCGATGTCAGTTGTTTAGCTTGTGACATCTAAAATTCTAAAGGGCAATATCTGCAGTTAAATTTATAAGTTGTAACTATTTCTTTCCTCGCTATTCCTTTTCTCATTCATTTTCGGAAAAATTGCTTCTAGCCCCCAAAATTAAATAATTTATTTGCTTACCTCCCAATACTTAGTCTACAATTTCTTTACACCCAAAAGGCCAAAACCAACTTTTTTGTTTGTAGAACCCCCTAAGTACAATACTGACGAATACCTACACAAAAAAACCCAAAACTACCCTTGACTATATATGTGACCATCCTTATTTTTCGATTTTTTTGCCTCACTCTCTCTCATCCCTTCTCTCTCCCCTCCCATTCTCCACTTCTGTTAAACCCAACCCCTTTCGCCATTAATTCTTCTCACCCTCTTAAAAAAATTCTCTGTCTTTCTCTCTTCTCCTCTCAAACTAAGGTGAGGTTCAATTTTTTGTATGGTGACTAATAAAAATTCTGTATCAAGAGGTCGGTTGCCATTCTCTTCTCTAGTTGTGGTGTCGGATCCGTCATTGTTGGGTTTGGGATATGGACGTACTAAGGATCATTGTGAATGATGGCAATTTTTTTCACGAGCGGAGAATGAACCAATAGAGTTCGAAGGAGATGTTTAGATGTCATATTGTGGGTTGTTTTGCAAACTTTATAATGTAGTTTGTTTTGAAAATAATTGTAAACTTTTTCTTCATATGTTATATTGTAGTGATGGTTATTATGTTAAATACGTACTTTAATTTGAGTACGGTTATAAACTCGTAGTCAATTGTTAAGCTTAGCAGTTAGTTGTTAACTTTATGTGTTAATTGTTAATATTATGAATTAGTTGTTAAGCATTTGCATTTGTTGTTAAACTTGTTCGTCATTTGTTATGTTTATGTATTAGTTTTTAAGCTTATGCGTTAGTTATTAAGTTTTTTTGTCAGTTGTTAAACTTATGTGTTGGTTGTTAAGCTTTTTCGTCAGTTGTTAAGCTTATGCATTGGTTGTTAAGCTTATATGTTTGTTGGTTAAGCTTTTTCATTATTTGTTAAGCTTATTGTGTTTGTTGTTAAGTTTTTTCATTAATTAAACTTATGCGTTGGTTGTTAAGTTTTTTCGTCAGTTATTAAGCTTATACATTGGTTGGTAAGTTTTTCCATTAGTTGTTATGTATTGTTAAGCTTTTTCATTAGTTGTTAAGCTTATGTATTGGTTGTTAAGTTTTTTTGTCGGTTGTTAAGCTTATGTATTGGTTGTTAAGCTTGTATATTTGTTGTTAAGTTTTTTCGTCTAGTAATAGAAAGAGAGTAAAGGAAATAACTAAATAATATTCATCAGTTGTTAATCATGAAAAAACTTAACAATAAACACATAAGCTAAACAAGCAATGCATATGCTTAACAACTGACGAAAAATAACAACCAACGCATAAGCCTAATAACTGACGAAAAACCTTAACAACCAACGCATAAGCTTAATAACCAATGAAAAAATAAATCAACGCATAAGCTTAACAGCCAATACATAAGCTTAACAACTGATGAAGAAGCTTAACAATAAATGCATAAGTTTACCAACCAATGCATAAGTTTAACAACCAACGAAAAAGATTAACAAACAACACATAAGCTTAACAACTAACGAAAAAGCTTAATTAACGCGTAAGCTTAACAACCAACACATAAGCTTAATAACCGATGAAAAAGCTTAACAACTAACACATAAGCTTACCAACCAATGCATAAGATTAATAACTGATGAAAAACCTTAGCAACAAACGCATAAGCTTAATAATTAATGCATAAGACTAATGAAAAAGATTAAAACAACATATAAGCTTAACAATTAACAAAAAGTTTAACAACCAATGAATAAGCTTAATAACCGACGAAAAAGCTTAACAACAAATGCATAAGCTTAACAACTATCCCGTATAATAATCTGGTGTAAGCTACAAAACGTCATTCCCTTCTAGTATTGCTTTTATGAATAAGTATGCATAAATCCCACAATTGTACCTATAATTAAAAATAAAATAAAATATGTCAGTTTTTTCGTAAACATTTATAGTATTATTTTACAAACTCTCTAGTAGTTGAGGGTAGCTCTTCAGAATTCAATCAATTTGCAATTCAACAACATTTCTCTTATCTCCCTCTCTCTGTTTATACTCTCCACCAACGTTCACAATGATCCTTACGTCCAGATTCTAAACCCAACAATGGCGGATCCGACACCATAACTGGAGAAGAGAATGGTAACCGACCTCTTGATTCGGAAATCTTGTTAGCCACTGTAGAGAAAATTGAACATCACCCTAGTTTGAAAGGGGAAGAGGGAAAAAGATTTTTTTCAAAAGGGAGAAAAAAATTAATGGCGTTGGGTTTAACAGGAGTGGGGAAGGAGAGGGGAGAGAGAGAAGGGATGAGAGAGAGGCACAAAAATCCAAAAAAGGGTAGTCACATGTATAGTCAAGGGTAGTTTTGGGATTTTATATATATTTTTGAGTGGTTATGGGTTGACATTTTACTTAGGGGCTTCTACAAACAAAAAGGTTGATTTTGGGAGTAAAGAGATTGTGGACCAAGTCTTGGGAGGTAAGCAAATAAATTATTTAATTTTGGGGGTTAGAAGCAAAATTCCCTTCATTTTCCGCAATATAATGTATCTTTAATTTAGAATTGCTTTCTTCATACACCTTGTTACATGATAAAACTAACTTTTCTCAAGACCTGTGAATGAGATCCATCTGAATGGAATTAATGAAGATGATATTTCATGAGGTGTCAAGTTTTGATCATGTAGAATGTGATGGGTTTCTTTAACCACTGTTAAAACATTATCATAAACTTGATGTGGTCTTTTTTATTCTAATGTAGTGGGTGTTTTGGAGGGCTTATTTTTAGGAGCTTGCAAGTCATACTGGTTTTTGATGATTTTTGGCTTTTATGATAAAATTCGTATAGAACTTGTATGGGTAGAATGGTCATTTACTTGGTCAAACCTAACTTATTTACATGAGCTTATAAGCTAGTTTTCCAAAAGTTAGGACATCCCAACTTTTTTAAAATGGGATTTATAAGCCCAGCTTATTGGTTATTTACCAAATAGTTAGAAATGAAAAAGCTAGCTTAAAAGCTAGTTTAACCCAAAAACAAGCTCTCCCAAATGCCCTCAGTCACAAAATTGGACCTTGCTATGGTGGTTTTGGAAGAGCAAAAGGGGATTCCATGGTTCAAATCCTGGAGGAGATACCCATTTTGGTCGCACCTACTTGCACCAATCTGGTCATATGCACCCAAAATAAATAACCTCAAGCCCAGTTAATCAGTTAGCGTCAGCTTGGTGCATTCCTTATATTTTAACTTTAGCTAACTGTTAGGCAAAACTTAAAAAGCATTTTCATATCCCTTATTTCTCAGAGGCCACCGTTGCCTACCGCAAATCATGATGAGTAGTTTTGTTTATCATTACCGATTTTGCTTCATTAATATAGTTATGAGTATGAGCAAGGTTATTTGGTGACGAGCAGTCATCAAAGTTTTCTTGTTGCAGAATGTTGGCGCCTTGATTGATAATGGCAACATTGGTTTTTACAATCTTTTAACTGCTTAAGTATTTTTCTACTCATTTTTATTTTGAAATAGGTAAAAAGCATGCTTACAGGGGACTTTACTTGTTATATTTATGTGCGATCTAAAGGAAGTATTTGTTAATAAGAAATTGCAGTTTTCCCACTGCAACCGATGTTTTATTTATAGTAATGCTTATAGTACTGTGTAGGTATGAAGTCAATGTGGATCTCGAAGAGATCATGGTAATGGAAGCTATATGGAAATCTCTTCAGGTAATCCCGTGATTGGGTTCTTCAGTAACTGAAATTTCTTGAAAAGTGTTATTTTCATTTTGTTTACCTGGTGAGAAGTTCATGTTATCATTTTTTATCCTGTTATATGCACCTAACATTGAATCTTCTGTCAGGATTCCTCTTTGCTGAGAAGCGAATCAAGTGAAATCAGTAACCAAAACCACACAGAGAATCCTCTCGACTCATCCTCTTCATCTTACAATCATGGAGACAGCTTCTCACCTTTCGGAAGGCGAGCGAGAACCATCGACTCCCGTATGAGAATTTTGTTGAATGAATCTAACAGCACACAACCGGAAACTGTATGTTTATCTAATTGAATGTGTATATTGCCTGACAGCAATTAAACTTTATTATTAAAGCCCCTTGTTCATCTGGTGTTTGTATAATTGCTCCAAATTGAGAAGATCTTGTATAAGCTTATTTTTATACCCATCAATACAGTTGCATCGATGTATATTTGAGTTGAAACGGTGACACCGCGTAATGATTATTCGATGTTTACTTATCCGGTTATTGTAATTAATGGTTGGTCAGATTTTTTACTGTGATAATTGGAGATCTGGGTTTGCAATGATTGTTTATGCCTACCCAAATGACTCCGTGATGACTAGGCCCTTTCAGGCTTACTATCGGGAATTAAAATGATGAGAAGCATTAGGATAATTATGTGAATCCTACAGGTTATTAAGAAAGCCCTAACATGTTATATCTATAGTCTAGAAATTATTCCCATTATTGAAAGATTGCGGGATTGCTAGAGTCGTATATATATTGGTGTGAAATTTTAGCTATATATGGTTTTGGAATTTTAGCTACGTGACACTAGTGTTTATACTCATGATTTGCAAGAGTATATTATGGTTGTGGAACCATCATTTTAAAAAAAGAAAAGAAAATAGGAATAAAGCGGTCAGATGATCCATATGCTTCCAAAGTCTGCATTTTATTTTTGATTCCCTATGTATCTACATTAACATTAAGGTTAGAATATAAAAATATAACTCTCAATTCTCTCCAGAACTTCCAAGTTTTGGTGTAATGGTTAGAGAGACTTTAACATGACAACATGGTATCAGAGCAAGCAATCCAAGTTCGAATGTTTTGGCAGATAAAAATGGTGCTCAATCCGCTGGAATATGTTAGAATATAGTGTTGGGATCATGACATACAACGCAGCGGAAAAAGCATATCATGACTATTAATCAAAATTAATTAAATATTAGAAGAATACCTGAAACGCTTTCCAAATTTCTACAATAATCTGTCCCGAGATCAATCCAAAATAGCTTCCTCAAGAGAAAAAGCCTCCAAGTGAAATCCACCCGTCACCGTAGAGGAGCAATACTGAGAGATAGGTTCTCAAAAATCTATTTCTTCATATTATCTTCATAAGATTTTGAATCTCTTCTCTCTTCACCTCTCATAAGGCTACATATGAACCCTATTTATAGGATTACACTAGTCTTAGAGATTTTAACTTTAAACAATTCATAATTATCTAGAACTCTATCCATAACAATTAAGGATAGAATAGATTTGTTCAAAAACTTTATCCATAACAATTAAGGATAGAAATAGATTTATTCAAAAACTTTATCCATAACAATTAAGGATAGAAATAGAATTGTATTGCATGTATACCTCTTCTAATGACATTAGTGAGACCAATTGGGTCCCATATCAAGAACCAATTATTAATCAAATTAATAATTTTAATTTAACAATCAAATCCCTATCCGACCAATTGTTCATAAAAGCTCTTCCATAATATGGGATTAATTATTAATAAATAATATCTTACATTCAATCCCTTCCAGTATCATTTATTTTAGGCAACTCTTTTAAGCAGGACAACTCACCTATTTGCTCATGCCTAAATTTGCAATTCCCATGAACATAAATAAAAATTATTTTGAAACATCAAAATATTTTATTTTTTATAAGAAAATAAATTTTGTAAAAATATTTTCAAAGCTACCTGCCGGCAGGAATTTAATAGCTTCATGGGAATGCATAATAAATTAACTCATCATAATGAGCATACTGGATCCTATCTAGACATCCATCATTTTCCTAAATGAAATTTAGCAACCCAATGTTTCAGGTTGTGTAGCGCTTGCTAAACAAGCTTAACCATCACATCAAAGCATACTAAATTATCAAATCGAAAATGATAATATCATCAAGTCAAAGGGACCATGTAACAATTTGAACTCTCTATCTCTTAGGTGACTCATCCTAGAGAATTCAAATACGGTCTAGTGCTACACACATCATAATGCGTGCTTATGACATACACCCGGAGAATCTCCATTCTCGATGGTTGAGACCCACCACCATATCTCATATATCGGTGTCATGCATAATAACCTGTTATAACAAAGTTATCCTTTACTAGTTATAGGTTAAGCACAAATTTAAGAAATTTCTAAGTTAGATCATATCTCCAAGCAAGTGACCATCACAGTGCATGATCTAACAAAATAACTTCTAAGGATATATATAACAATTATATAAATAATACCCAAATTATGTGCAACAATTAAATTTATTAACATTACAATATTATTACATAATTTGTATTGGATGTTCAAGGGCAAATTATTAATTACTATTCCAGCAATCTCCCACTTGCCCTAACATCCAATCAGATATAATCCTTACTCCCATCTGTCAAAAACATTTTAAGACAATGGTCTATAAAAGGACATTAAATGTTATCTGCTCAGCCATCTATTAAACCATAACATATTTCTTCTTATTAACCTTTAATAAGATAATTTTTCTTTCTAAGCTTCTTGCAACAGCTCCATTACTATCAAATAATAATGAGAAAGAAAATTATTACAAGAAATAATATTAAGCTTATGGAATAACTCATTAATCCATATTCCTTCTTTTAATGATTTAACATGGCACTACATATTCTGCTATTATTATTAATGATATAAATATAACCCGAAACAGACTTTCTATTATTATGATTGGATTGAAAACTACTTACAAGATCAATAACCTTTTTGGGACACATTTCCTTAAAGAGAGATTGTTTATGTCTTATAGGAACCTTTCCTTTCTTGGAATCTTATTAAGTTGAATCTTTTATGGATCTTATCCATATAAGTAGATTGTGACAACTCTATATATCTATTTCTCTATCTATATAGAGTTTAAGATCTACGATATAGAATGTCAAAAGAAAATCCTTCATAAAGAACTAAATCTTACTTTTACTCATGACATTAAAAAATATCATTCTTAATGAGCAATATGTCATCAACATGCAATGATAGGAATATAATGGACTTACTTTATTGTTCCTTATACACACATTATTTCTTTTTAAGGATATGATTAAAATCAATTTCCTTAAACATTTCATCAAAATGAATGTTTGATTGATTAAGTTCATAACTTTAATTGATTCAATTAATCAATTTTATCTTCTTGAATTTTACATACTTGATTCTATAATATGTAAATATCTTCTTAAAGATATCCATTCAAGAAGGTTATTTTAAAATCCATTTATTGATATCTTATATTCATAACACGTTGAAATGACTAAATGGATCCTTATGAACTATAATATTACAATTAGAGGAAAAGATTCTTCAATAATTAATACCCGTTTGTCATCAAATATGATATCAGGTCTCTTACATGAAATCATGTCCAACATGACTTTTGTGTAAGTTTTAGGATTTTTATTCTCCTTGTTACTTTTCATCAAATATATTTTAACAAGGCTACTGTACTATACAGGTGGATGAAAATCCTGTTTGATCTCCTAATTGTAATCAGTGTATTCAACAATAAATTTAGTAAGTAAATCTACATTTACTTTATTACTTAAAGCTCCCACTAAATTTATACAATCTTCAACTCATTTGAAGTTTCTCCCACTGGATTAAATAACTCTCCCACTAAAGAAAACAAATTTTCTTCTTGAGTTATATAAATCCTAATCATCAAGCTTGACTTTATAAAAGAACATATTTCTAGTAATAATTATTGTCTGAAAACTACACTAGGATTATCAATATAATACCTAGTACTTTCTTTAGGATAACCTACTAGTAGGATGTTATTTACCTTAGACTCCCATTTTGTCCATATATTATTCTCTGATGAGAATATGACAACTCCAGATCTCCAAGCGTCATACACTTAATTTTCTTCATATCCATGTCTAATATGGAGTGAAAGAAAAAGATTTGGCAGGAATTCTACATAATAAATAATATGCAATCTCCAATGCATAACCTATTAGAAAAAGAACAGGTTTTAATGCCCAGCATAAACCTAACCATATCGAATAAGGTTTAGTTCCATCTTTCAGACAAATAATTAGGAGTGATAAATTAGTAGATGTCAAAGTACTAACAATTCCATTTTGTTCATAAATCTCTTAAACTCCTAAGAATAGGAACTTGTCATCTGGATCAAATCAGATGACTTTGATACTTTTATCAAACTCCTCTTTAACTTCAATAACATTCTAATTTATGATGCAATCGCATAAATACATCAATATATAATTGCATCATATATGAATGCTATAAAATAAGAATATTTAACTATTGCTTTAACATTTAAAGGATCATATACATCTGAATGTATGAAGTCAAGAGTACGCAAGAGCTTTAGCACTATTTTAGAAAAATAGTTTGGTCATATGTCTCTTAGATAATATTTACAAGTTGAGAAATATTCTAATTTAGAAAAATCAAAGGACTATCCTTTATCAATTTATTGATCTTATCAACATTAACCATGACCTTGTATTTTTGTGCCAAAGATAAGTTGGATTACCTTGATCCAATCTGTATTTTAAGAGATTTATCAATTCCAATAACATTACATTACATAAGAGTTAAGGATGGCAATCATGAAAATAAACAGTTTTAATTTCATAATTATCAACAAAACAATTTCTAAAATTTTAATAGAAATTCTATTTTACAAGAAAATAGAAAATCACTACTATAAAAATTTAGAAAAATAGAAATCAAATTTCTTCTAACTTTAAGAAACATTAAGACAATCTTTAAGTTTCATTTCATGCCCTTCACTCAAAACAGAAACAAATTTCTTATTATTTTTATTTTTATTTACAATGCTGAAACTAGGGCTTTTATTTTCATTGTCAAAGTTAATCTTTTCATGTACTCTTACAACAAATTTGTAAGTATGTAAAGATAAACTAGAATGAATACATCATATATAAAAATCATTCACATTAGTAGACTCTACTAATCAATGGGTGAACTGTCTTCAAAAGACATTTCTTTATTAAGTGACATAATGCAACCTTTACAATTTTCTTTTCTAATGACTTTCATTATTTAAATTTCCGCTTCATGTTTAGAAATCTATTTTACTTTTTAGATTTCCCTCTTAAGAAAATTTTCTTTTCTTAATACTGGACAATCCAGTTCGATATCCATCATTATGGATTTAACCTGCTTAATAATATTCTTTTCACTTTTTCTTTAACAAGTT